TCCATTTTGGTGTAATTTGTTTTAGTTTCGATGATTCGATGCTTTTATGGGTATTTTTGTTGTTTTTGATGTATTTCAGGATTAACGGAGCTAATTGAGTGAAAATGAAGCAAAACGTTGATGAAATACTTGACAAATATGATACCTTTTCACTATTATGCTCATAACTTTTGATATACAAATGATAATGGAGTGATTCAAATTTTATTGGAAATTAGACTTGAAGACCTTTCCAACGATATATTACACGCCTCAAACGGAGCTCCGGATATGAAGTTATGACTGATTTAAGATGAGTGATACGCGCAGCAGAGCAGGCACGTCCGTGCCCAGCATCAGGCACGTCCGTGCCTGGAAGACAGAAGCTAGATGAATTTTGCTACGCCCAGAGGCACGTCCGTTCCTAGCAAGGGGCACGTCCGTGCCTCCTGGGATTCTTGTGCGCCAAGGCTTGGCCGATTTTCTTATCTTTTTAGGCTTATATAAATACTTTTTAGCCTTGTTTTCTTGGATATTCATTAAGTTTATATTATTTTTCAATTCCTATTATTAAGAACTAGTTCTCCATTATTATTTTTCTAAGTTTTTGTAATTCAAGATTCAAGATTCAAGCTTTCTACTTTCAATTTTTATTCAAGATTTGGTATTTATTTTTCATCCTTTGTTATTTAATTATGTTTTCATTATTTATTATTGTTTTTGTTTCTTTAATCATATGTGAGTAGATTCTTTAATTCAAGATCTAGTGTAGCCCAAATATTATTGATGCATGAATTAAATCTTTAAATTCTTTAACAACTTTAACAATTGAATTGCTAATTTGATTGTGATTATGCCAATGCTAGGTTAGACGTAACTATAGTATTGCGATTATTCCATTGTTTTTATCACAACGAGAGTTGGGTTTGAACGGATTTGAATAAATTAATTTAGGGTTTGATTCATAACACGAGAGTAGTTGTGTTTGATAATTGGGAAGTTAGAGTAACGTGTTTAATGTCTTTAATATGCATGATACCATGAGAATAGGATTGATTGTATGTTAGGGAAGCCATTGATACTCGAGAGAGAACCTTGGTAATTATTAGGGTTTACTTTTCCCCGTTCGATTGAAATTGTATGTTAAGGGTAGAATTACAATTGCATCGATAATAGTTGTGGTGAAGCTAGATCTTGGATGTTTTTAATTGCTTGATTTAATCATCTTAATTAGTTTATTTTCGAATTTTTCCTATATTTTAGACCCTTAGTTATCGATTATACTTGATTTTTGCTTAGTAAAGATTCGAGTCTATTTAATTATTTTTGAACCTTAGTCTCTTGGGATCCGACCCTTACTTGCCAGTCTACATTAGTATTGGTCTGTTAGGTTATTTTTGATAGGTATGCGACACGCCTACCAGGCTCGAAAGCAGCGACTAGCCATGCCTGGTTCCAACCATGAGCTTTAGGGTCCAAAAAATGACTCACCCTCCAAGTTTTTGCCTGACGGAGCATGATGTTGGAATTAAAAACCGGTACCTCCCCTGCCATCCACCTGTCTTTTCCTGCCAATATAGACTTTCCATTCCCCACCTTCCAACCACAACCCCCAAGAAGGTTATTCCTGGCTCTAGCGAAACCCCGCATTCCCCAAGAGAAATTCCTATTTGTCACTCTTACCTGAGTTCCTCTTAAGAGCGGAGAATGAAACCTTGCTGAACAGATCTTAGCCAGTAATAATTGTGGATTTTGATATAATCTCTATGCCTGCTTCATAAGTAAAGCCTCATTGAAACAACCCAGGCTTCGGACCCCTAAAGCCCCCATTCCTTTTGGAAGGTTGACTCTATCTTTGCTTACCCAGTGCATCCCCCGCTGTTCTTTGTTTGCCCAAAGGGACCTTGCTAGTAAAGAGTCAACTTTGTTTAAAATATCAGCAGGCATCTCAAAACAACTTACCACATGGGATGCAATAGCGATGAGAACAAAATTGATCAAAATGATCTTTTGAGGTTGAGAGAGAGGAACCGCATTCCACCCAGAGATTCTTTTACGAATGTTATCAATGATGAATTGAAAGGACGCCCCTTTACGCCCCCATTAAATCAATAGGAACCCCCAAATGGACACCAAATTGATTAACCTGATCCATCTCCAATCTTGATCTAAATCCATTATGGATCTGAACTGGGGTATTGGGACTGACCTTGCAATGTGACTTTCCAAGGTTCAGCTGCTGACCCGAGACCATGCAAAACCTGTTGAGTATGCCAGAAATGGCCATGCAACTTTGATCCGTCGCTTTGAAAAATAAGAGTGCGTCATCCGCAAAAAACAAATGTGAGATGGAAGGGCCCCGTTTTCCCAATAAATTGGATACTTTTTTTTTTTTAATAAATAGGTGAATGTTATAAAATCATTGATTTCTACAATTTTGCATTTGTGATTTCCAATCTGTCATGTTATAGATCGATAATTATTGTCTCTATGATGAAACAAGGTTAAATTAAAGTGGATATTCATATTTTTAGAGTTAATTAAAATATTTACAATCAAACTTTTGTATAATTTCTGTTAAAAATTAAAAATGAACACGCAGTGTTTTAAAATTGAACATTTAGTACAAAATAAACATTATTTAGTACATAAAAATGAACATATGTTAACGATTATTTTATCTTCGTTTTTCGTTAATAATTAAATACAATGAGTTTGAACCCATATATTTTATAGAGAACCACAAGGGAGAGTGATGAGAATCGATCCCAAAATCTCTTGGAACCAGGAGGGGAGCTCTAACCACTTAAGTTACCCCTCACTCTCATTAATTTGAACCTATATGAATATATGAAAATCATTTCATTTTTAATATATATACTAAATGTTTATAATTGTTTTTTACTTGTTCATTTTTTTACGTGTTTATTTATTCATACTAAATGTTCATTTGATTTAATGAGTCCATATATTTTTATGAAATGTTCATTTTATTAGGTATGGTCTAGCTATTTTATGATTATTGTATAATAAATGTTCAATTTTAATGTACTAAATGTTTTTTTTTTGACGTGTTCAATTTTTATTACTAGATGTTCATTTTTTTACCTGTTTATTTTTTATTAGTAAATGTTCATTTTTTTTACGTGTTCATAATTTATTTATTTTTTTTAAGGCCGCGGTCGAACAATTCTATGATTATATATATGATAATATAATCATGTTCATTTTTAATATACTAAATGATCATATATTTTTACAAGTTCACTTTTTAATACTAAATGTCCTTTTTTTACGTGTTTATTTTTTATTACTTAATGTTCTTTTTTTTACTAAATTTTTTGGGGTTGGTGATTCGGGCCTTAATTTGCAATTTTTGTGGCCCTAATTACTCAAAATTTGTTTTTGGGCTTGATAATCCAAAAATAAAGCAAACTGATGTGAAATAACAAAATATGAAATACCAAGTTTTAATTTCTAATGAAGTAATGATAGTGACTAAGTCATCCTATAAATTGGTCAAACCAATCAACAATTCAACAAAAAGAAATTGTTCATTAACATAAAGCGAACCAATCATCAATTCAACATAGCAAGATATGCATCAAAAGTTCAAAACAACTGGCAGTAGGGTGCAACTTAGCAGAATAGTAGCCGACGAGGAGTCAGAGGAGACGAAGAGTAGCCAAGGGTGGTCGCGTGAGGGTGAATGTGAGAAAAGAGTAGCTGACGGTGGAGTGAGAGAGTGAGAGCGGAGTACTGGAGTGAGTCAGTAATAGAAGAGAGTGAGAGAGGCATGAAAGATTAGGGTTTTTTTTTATTTATATATTTATTTATATTTTTTTTAGGCTTTATATACGAAGGGTAGAAATCCAAACTGGGCTAGGCTATAATTTGGATATGGGCCGTAATTCGATTTGGATTTTTATTTTTCGGTTTTTCAAGTCTTGAAACCGAAACCAAACCGCAAACCGCAAATTTTTTTTTTCTCAAACCACATCGAACCATAAGAAAAAAAAATCACACCGCATTTCTAATTCGGCTCAGTTTGCGATTTGGTTCGGTTCAAAATCACATTAGTTTTTTGAGCTTTTTTGGCCCGAACAAAAAAAAAAACTAAAATGCTTAGAATTGCATGTCCAAAGTCAACGAAAAAGTAAAAATATTTTGTGCCAGGTGTTTCGGGGTTTTTGTCCCTCGGGAGAGTTACGCCACCAAGATTGATTTCCCTACCGGCTTTACCTGCAAAACAACGGAAGCTCCGGGTGTTCGGAGTTCCTCCTCTGACGATCAAGTTAGAACCAGTCGAAGTAAGATAGAAAGTGCAGAAAGTAAAAGTAGATCTTTTCGGATCCCGAGATCAGGTGTTTTCTCCGATGTGAGAGAATTGATTGTGTAATAAAAAATGAGCGTGTCCCCAAAGTGGGGTAAATCTCCCTATTTATAGGAACATTGGTAAATGTGCCCCTACCTATTTGTGGGGATGCACCGTTTTGCGGCTTTTCTCGGGAATTGGGTCCTGAAGGCCGTCTTTTTCCCTACTGATTGGGAGTGTCATGTATCAGCCTAGGATTGGTTCATTTTGAACCTCTCCTAAGGTGACACGTGTCACCCTCTGATTGGGCCACGTGGCCTAGGTATTTTTACCCAAAACACCAGGCAGACCCAACTTCGTTCCCAAAACTAAAGCCTAAGGCCTGTAAAAAAATCGGGCTAAGTCGAGCCTGTTTTGACATGATCAGGTCTAAATTATAATATAGCTGTGGCTCATTCAGTCATTTGCACGAAAGAAAAAAAGAACAAAAAAAAAACACAACAACAAGTAGAGGTGATCAACATTGGCTCGGCCCGCTAGCCCGTCCCAAAAATGTGGCGGGTTTGGGCAGGCCTAAAAATGCATTTTTAGTTAAAAACCAAGCCCGGCCCAAAAAAGCGTGAAAAACCCGTTTTAATCCGACAAGCCCGCTACTTTTTTGTGGATTTGGACACGAGATATATTATTAAGGCCCGACCCAATTTTTGATCACCTCTACAACGAAGGTTTTACCTAGTGTGCTTTTCACGAGTACAGCGTACTCGACTACTCTCTCTCTCTGTCTCTCTAGTCTCTACCATTGAGGCACTCTGAATTCGCCATTGAAGCTGCTTGTGAGCTTTCTCTCATCCATAATCCATTGAAGCAGCTTTCTCTCTTCCTCCCACGCTCCTTTGTTTCTCTGTCTCCCCTTCTTTCTCACGCTCCTCTCTTCCTCTTTTACTCTTCCTCTGCTCAGCCACCGCATCCCAGCTGGCAGCACCCTCCGCCCTCTGTCAGTTCGTCTAGTTTTCCACCTTTTAAATTCAGGTAACTCATTACTCATATTTAATTGTTGAATTTTTAAGGTTTTAATTTCTTATTCTCCATGAGTTGTCGGGTTCATTTTGTGCTTAAATTATTTGTTTTTGTTATTTAATTTGTCAAATTAGTGTTGGTTGAAATTGATGATTTGTTACATGTTCTACATAATTAGGGTTTCAAATTCATGGGAAGTTGTATAATTTGGCATTTCTGATTTTTTTTAATTAGAAATTGATATTATATTGGGCATTGTAATTGTTATGGAAGCTGATTTTCGAGGTTTTCTTGTGCAAACTGATAATTCATCTCCCCTACTGGCTACTGCTATGGGTAGTATTTAACGGATGTTCTTTCTTTAGCCAAGTCTTGTCAGAGTATGTCTTTTACTTTTGTCAAAAGGAGGGGCAACCATGTTGGCCATTCCTTAGTTAATTTGAGTCGTAGTTTTGAGGGGTTTCGGGTTTGGCTTGATGAGTACCCACAAGAAGTGCATGCTGAAGTTTGTAATGATTTAATTCCTTTGCTTGATTAATAAAGTTCAGCTTTGGTTTGTGTCAAGATAAAAGTTTATGCTTGTATAATTAGTTGGGTATTTTTGACAATATTTGATTGTTTAATCTAATTGAAATTGTGACTTAATTTTCATAATGAAAAGGAAACAAAAAAATTGTGTGATATAACAAGTTTCTTTAGTCCCAAAATGCATCCCCCTCCACAAAATCCTCCTCCTTAGACGGGTGACGATCGATGGGTGACACTGATATAGCACCCATAAAATCCTTTATCCGCCAGTGGCTAGAATGTTTCTATTCATATACTTAATCGAGAAGAATTTAACGTGAATTTTCGAGCCTAATTTGATATTTAAATCAAATTTGGTTGCTAATGTGTTGCAGGCTTTTGTTTATCTAACCCTTCAATTTAGCAAAGAACTATGAAAGTGGACCTTTTCTCCTGGCTCATAGCAGCCGCCCATCCTGCCCTGTCTCGAGGACATGAAAATTATGTTATTAATTGATGTTTTTGTTGGTGGGTATTACTCAGGGGTTAGTATGGATTACAGTAGAAGGCGTGATTTTTTGTTTTGTGGCTCGTGTGGAACGTTGTTGTCATTGGATTCAACTAGGTATGCTCGGTGCCCTTTATGCCGTACAAGGAAAAGCCTCAAAGGTATTACTTTCTGCCTTCATATTATTATGTTCTGAATAATGTTGCTGTATTTTCAATTAGAATAATTGGGAAGTAATTTTCGTGTTCCTGTTACTGAGTCGAGCTGAGCCGAGGCACTATATAATTTATTTGGATTGTTTTTTAAGGAGATTGTTGAATGTGATTGTATGTACTTGGAAGCAAATATGGGATAGTTTGTAATTGATCAAGGATGAATCTGACTTTAGTATAATTAGCAAGTGTTAGTGCAATATTTGGTCTGAATCTCTAACTAGTCTCGAATTGCTTGAATTATGTCGTGATAGGTGCTTAGTGGACATTGAAGCTAAAATATGGAAGTTTGTATTTGATATGAAGGATGGTTTCCTAGTTAGAGATAGAATGCAATAGGATTTTAATTGTTTGACATTCGCATCTATTGAATTCTTTTGCGCACATTGTATACCATTTTCTGAGTTCTTCTTAATTGATGCATTATCAGTTTGTGGATTCATATAATTCATAAGCATTTGAAAAAAATATTTTTGTTGTTGATATGACAATTTCTATGGTTTCTGGAAAATTTTAAGTTCATTTAAATGAACTTTCAAAAAGTATGTATTTCTATTAACAATTTCAATATTTCTCTTGTGGTGTGGTTTTGTAGTGTGTGTAGCTCTTTCCTTTTACTATCTGAAACTGAAGATTTTTCTGATTTTCTTTATGTTCACTGGTAAAATTTTCCAGATTGCATGATATAAGTACTACTGCTTTGATTATGTTTATGAACTAAGTCATCAATGGATACTGTTACTGTAATTATGATGAATTTTCTTGCTCATGTTTGATCTCCTAACAATGTGGCATTTATGATGTGGGCTGATATTTCCAGAGGTTGAAGGAAAGGGAACATGTTATACCGCTTCAGGAGAGGTATGATTATTCTCCTCAGTCTTCCTTCTTATTTCATGAGGCTTATTTTATACCTAATGCTTAAAACTTATCATTAATCGCTAGAAATACACGGTCAATGAATTCTATACATTCTTGTCACTGATGTCTTGTTTGGTATTTCAATATTACTTGATAGTAAAATTTCAGCTGATTGTATGAATTTCGAAGACTATTTTCTTCAAATATTATTGTAGTGAATAGCAAAATAAAATCTCAAAATTAGAAAATTAAAAAGAATCAAGAAGCATCCAAATCTCAATGAATGCCTCCATTTAAGTAGTTCTGCAAGACAGCACAGATGCTTTCCCCATTTTGGCTTCCTCAAGGTGCTTAACAGAGTTAAAACCAATCCGAGGTTTGTGATGATGACACTAAGTGTATACGTCTAAATACTCTCATGTAGTTCACATAACAAACAAAGCCTTTCCAAGATAGAAAGTCCCTAGATGATTACCTACATATTTAAAATTGGTGGTTAGGAGCTGTGAATTTTTGTTCTGCTTGAAATGTTTCCTGGTCTTGAAGTAAGATGGTAGGTACTATATACTCCCCTTATTGAGTTGGGGTACACACGTGTGACAGTTGAGAGATGGCAGGAGCTAGCTGTATGTTCATCTGAGCTTAGATTCTGTTTTATTTCATGTGTACCTCGTATTCAAGTGTTTATTTGTGAGCTATGTAAGTAATGTGTCATCAGCTTTAATATATGTTGATTATCTATTACTGACTAAAACATAGTTTATGAGAAACTTAATTGGTTCTGATGATCAGTTAGTTGTCCATAGAGATTAAGTAGACAATTGTTATTGGCAGATTGGGATGTTAGTGCTATCCTTTCCAGGACGAAGGTTACCTGGTTGATAAGGGTTGCACAGCAGTACATGTATGTGTCTAAATACTCTTATGGAGCTCATAAACAAACCAGGTGTTAGTTTGATGTCTATTACAAGAGGGGGGGGGGTGAATTGTAGACTAAAAATTTGTGAACTTTATGCGGAATTAAACAAAGTATGAAAAGACAGAACACACGAGATAGGCTTTTCGAATTACTTCACTATGCAAAAACTCTTTTACAAATGTGAAGATTCAGCCTACACTTAAGTTCCTCTAGGAACTCAAGTATCCCAGCTACGGTTCCTCTACCGTAACTTAACTCTCTTAGTGATTCGACTCTGAATCACTTACAACTTTGTAACAGACTCACTCAAGTCTCTCAAACCCCAATCCCAATTACAAAAGTAATTACAGACTTTCCTAATGCATTAGAGAAGATTAAGGCAGGAAGGAACTCGCTGTAAGACAGTAAATACTTTGAAAACTTAAGCTCCGAAAACTGAATATTTTTCCACCCAAAAATCAGAGTTCGTTGCAAGCCTTTTATAGAGAGATGGAAAGCATCAATCTTGTTTCCCACTCATCCCATGATCCACGTTCACCTTAACCTTGGAAGTTAATGAACGTTGATCAAAGAGTGGGAAGTAAGATCCCCTGACTTTCCTCTCAAGCTTTTAACGTGCATCATAAACAACTATTACTTGGTCAAAAATAAAATCAGTTAAAAAGATTTTATTGTTTTTGAAAGATAAAAATTTTAAATAATTATTTAATTAAAAATAACAAACTTATCTTTTAATTAAACAATTATTTATTTACTTACAAAAATATATCTTATTTAAAAACTGATTTTACTTTATCTTTTATTAAGGAATAAAACTGATTTTATATTTACGTTAAAACATTTAATTCCTAACTGAGTTCCTCTCTACACATAAAGACTCTAGTGCTTAGAGAGAATTCTAAGTACTGGAGCTTGCTCTTCTTCTTGAAAGCTTGCATATGAATATCAAGACTTCCAATTCCTTTGCTCCTACTCCGGAACAGTTTGTTAACACCTGAATCTTTTCGTTCTACCAAGACTATCAAACATCATTAGTCAAAGTTTGTCTATTTTGTCAATCATCAAAATATTAAGAGGGTCAACAATATTCCCCCTTTTTTATGATGACAAACAAGACAAACTCGGTAAGCAAAATAGTCATCCAAGCACTCAAAATAATAAACTAAAAATAAAATTAAACAAGAACAAAGTAACAATCTGCATCATTCATGAAAATGTGAATTGAATGAAATATTTTTACCTTGATTTGAATGATGACTTGAATGAAACTGGTTTGACGTGGTCTTGGCTAAGTTTGTCCTCCTTTTCCCCCTTTTGGCATTATCAAAATAAAAGACAGAGCACAAGCTATACATAGTACTACGCTACAGAGGGGGTAGTAAATCCGAATGCAGGAATGATTAAGCATGCGCACATAGAAAGTATGCAACCAACATGTAATACCAATTAGCAAGACAAACAGAGCCAGTTCCAAAAATTACAAACCGAAAAGAAAAATAGTTCAAAATAAACTAGAAAATGAAAAAAAAAAAACTGAATCAATGTGCAACATGGATTGCAAAATAGGCTAAGTGAATTAGGCTTGGCAGGGGGTTTTGTTAAGGCTTCACCAGCGTCCTCCTCTGTTACTTCTTCAAATTTGACGTCCTTGATGGTGTCTAGGATGGTTTGATGGCTCTGCTGCACTTCAGTCTTGAAGGTTTGAACAGTGGAATCCATATGAACTATCAATCGATCCTCCAGAGCAACTACATGATCATGAAGAGCTGTAACCTTGGCTGTGAGTTGCTCCAAACCTGCCATAATAGCAGAGGTGGTGTCCCTGAATTCTTGGTGAAAGGTTTGAACATCAGAGGGACTAGGGCGTGGGGTGAAGGCTGCAAAGCCGAAGGTGGATGGGAAAGATGCAGGCTGTGGTTGAGAAGGTGATGGAGTTCCTTTAGGAACAGGAGAAGGAGTTCTTCAGAAACAAGTTTTCAAATCAATGTGAAACCCGAAAGCATTCTTCATGAAAATCCTTGTTGAAATTAAACCTGAAAGTAGTCAATGGGAAAACTTGCGTTGCCTCCGGTGTTCAATCGGAATCTGAAGCTGAATCTGAATCTGAATCTGACAGTGAGGGGGAAGAAGGTGAAGGAGCAGGGGATCATGAAGGGGATATAGTACTGAGTGAGGGGAAATATGTAGAGGCACAAGGTGAGAGAGAGGAAGAGAAGAGTACAACTGCATTAAGTGATGAGGAGGAGGGGAGTCCACCTCGTTGGAGGGTTTGAGGCACGAGAGTTAGGAGGAAGAGCAGCAAGATTGCAACCAAACAGAAACCTAAGCCTACCTCTCCAATTCACATTGATTTGGATGCTGAAACTACAAAAGTTCCTATATCTGAAGGAACTCCTTCTCTTGTTCCTAAGAACTCCATCACCTTCTCAACCACAGCCTGCATCTTTCCCTTCCACCTTCGGCTTTGCAGCCTTCACCCCACGCCCTAGTCCCTCTGATGTTCAAACCTTTCACCAAGAATTTAGGGACACCACTTCTGCTATTATGGCAGGTTTGGAGCAACTCACAGCCCAAGCTCTTCATGATCATGTAGTTGATCTGGAGGATCGGTTGATAGCTCATATGGATTCCACTGTTCAAACCTTCAAGACTTAAGTGCAGCATAGCCATCAAACCATCCTAGATACCATCAAGGAGGATGCTGGTGAAGCCTTAACAAAACCCCCTGCCAAGCCTAATTCACTTAGCCTATTTTGCAATCCATGTTGCACATTGATTCAGTTTTTTTTTTTCATTTTCTAGTTTATTTTGAACTATTTTTCTTTTCGGTTTGTAATTTTTGGAACTGGCTCTGTTTGTCTTGCTAATTGGTATTACATGTTGGTTGCATACTTTCTATGTGCGCATGCTTAATCATTCCTGCATTCGGATTTACTACCCCCTCTGTAGCGTAGTACTATGTATAGCTTGTGCTCTGTCTTTTATTTTGATAATGCCAAAAGGGGGAAAAGGAGGACAAACTTAGCCAAGACCACGTCAAACCAGTTTCATTCAAGTCATCATTCAAATCAAGGTAAAAATATTTCATTCAATTCACATTTTCATGAATGATGCAGATTGTTACTTTGTTCTTGTTTAATTTTATTTTTAGTTTATTATTTTGAGTGCTTGGATGACTATTTTGCTTACCGAGTTTGTCTTGTTTGTCATCATAAAAAAGGGGGAATATTGTTGACCCTCTTAATATTTTGATGATTGACAAAATAGACAAACTTTGACTAATGATGTTTGATAGTCTTGGTAGAACGAAAAGATTCAGGTGTTAACAAACTGTTCCGGAGTAGGAGCAAAGGAATTGGAAGTCTTGATATTCATATGCAAGCTTTCAAGAAGAAGAGCAAGCTCCAGTACTTAGAATTCTCTCTAAGCACTAGAGTCTTTATGTGTAGAGAGGAACTCAGTTAGGAATTAAATGTTTTAACGTAAATATAAAATCAGTTTTATTCCTTAATAAAAGATAAAGTAAAATCAGTTTTTAAATAAGATATATTTTTGTAAGTAAATAAATAATTGTTTAATTAAAAGATAAGTTTGTTATTTTTAATTAAATAATTATTTAAAATTTTTATCTTTCAAAAACAATAAAATCTTTTTAACTGATTTTATTTTTGACCAAGTAATAGTTGTTTATGATGCACGTTAAAAGCTTGAGAGGAAAGTCAGGGGATCTTACTTCCCACTCTTTGATCAACGTTCATTAACTTCCAAGGTTAAGGTGAACGTGGATCATGGGATGAGTGGGAAACAAGATTGATGCTTTCCATCTCTCTATAAAAGGCTTGCAACGAACTCTGATTTTTGGGTGGAAAAATATTCAGTTTTCGGAGCTTAAGTTTTCATAAAATATTTACTGTCTAGAGCTGAGTTCCTTCCTGCCTTAATCTTCTCTAGTGCATTAGGAAAGTCTGTAATTACTTTTGTAATTGGGATTGGGGTCTGAGAGAATTGTAACTTAGAAACTTGAGTGAGTCTGTTAAAGAGTTGTAAGTGATTCAGAGTCGAATCATATAAGAGAGTTAAGCTGCGGTAGAGGGACCGTAGCTGGGATACTTGAGTTCCTAGAGGAACTTGAGTGTAGGCAGAAGTTTCACCTTTGTAAAAGAGTCTTTACATAATGAAGATATTCGAAAAGCCTATATCATGTGTTCTCTCTTTTCTTACATTGTTTAATTCCGCAAAAAGTTCACGTTTCTTTATATACTACAATTCACCCCCCCTCTTGTAGTAGACATCGTACTATCACTAGGGCATTTTAAAGAATTCTAGTGCACTGTGTCAAATTCCATTCTTCTTACAAACCAACAACAAATGTGCTTATATGGTTAATATGGGTATAGCCCAGGGAGGCATTGCTGTACATTAATCACTTATGTTTGAACTGTCTGAAGCTGTAGGTTCTCTTGATGACTTCTAGTCCACGTGCTTTATGTACCTGTGATTAAACAATAATTCTTATCATAGGAATTGGACAGGGCTCCTAGATTTGAATACCAAACAAGTTCTCTTATGAGGATCTAGCCCATTTTACTAGGACTGTAATATTTACTACAGGTATATCATTTTATGATGGTTAATTTAGAATGCTGTTGATCTTTTATACTCACTTTCAGAATTGTATCTCTACTACCCTTCTCATGCTGCAGTAAAGTAGTAAACTAGTGAGAGTTAAGACAATATACAGCTCAGTACTTTGTGGTGCCAAGCATGCAATATAACATAATCTGCCTTGCAACATCAAAAAGTGTCCTTTTTAGGCCCGTTCTGGCACAATTTTTTTGTTTTGTTTATAGAATGTTGTTAACATGTACAATGTGGTGGGAAGACTGAGAGCAATGACTAGTTGTACAGTCTTGAGAACATTGTTTTTGTTCCACAGATTGCTGAGCTGACTGGTGATAGTATTGTAAGTTTGTAACATGTTAGAAACTTCTGTCTCTGATGCAAAAGAATGACATCCTCGGAAGAAATATGCTGTTGCTGCCTAGGTAAAAACTGTGTATGTTTAGGGCCTCTTTAGACCTGGTCAGTAGTCGCTTGAACTGGTATAATTATCTACTGCAACATGATTCCCAGTGCAAAATTAAGTTTTTCAAGCTGGTGTCTTTATAACCATAGAAAAAAGGGTTTTAAGTTTGTAAAATCAGAGGGAGCTCTTCATTTCTACGCTGCCTTCTTCTGGGCAATTCTGTAATATAGTGGGTGAGTCTTCCTTTTATATGCTAGAACTTTTGCAAGCGTTAATTCTGAGTTTAAAGGGTACCTTTTCAAAATAGCTCGAATTGGTAGTTTTCTTGTCTTTGTTGTATCTTTTAGGGTTTGTTGTGTATATGATTAGAAGTTTAGAACACTTGAAATAATTCTAAAAAGACTACACCCCACCCCCTCTCTTTTGCCAAAAAAACTAAAGATTTATTCTTTCATATTCACTTTTCTTGGGACCCTTGGTTGAAACAAGCTTTCTACAAGGCTATGGAATGTTCAATTGATTAAACTTGTTTACTTGATTTATTTGGGTTTAGCTGACACTTCCCTGGGTAAATCTTGTAGGATATTAGAAGGGCATTACAAATGGAGCCATTCGTGAAGGTTGATGGAGTAATGTCCGGTGACGTGAAAGTGCAAAGACAAGAGGTAAGTGGAGCTAGTGAGACAGAGATGAAGACCTGTCAATATTTCTGGAATGTGTTCTGATCTCTGTATCTGCATGATTTTCCTTGCAGATTAACCAGCCCTGTGAAAAGTGTGGACGCAGCCCTGTTGAGCTGGTTGATTCAAGACAAGTAAGCTCTAAAACATGTTTACTCATGTATTGCTCCTATACAGCTTTTATGTTTTGACTTGATTGCTCATCTGAGTGCTGAAATTCACTGTCTACAGACGAGATCAGCAGATGAAGGACAGACTAATTTCTACGAGTGCCCTTCATGTCGACACCGATGGAAGGAGAACTCTTAGCTGTTTTATTTTTTCTGTTTTGGTAAGATGGGGGTATATTTTGGAAGCTACATTGTTGGTTGTCTTCTTGGAGCCATTATTTGGTAATTTTGCTTGAAAAAGTAACTAGTTAATTGTTAAAGAGGGTGGTTTGTTAATTTGTTTTAGTTTTTTTTTTTTCCATTGTTAATTTGGATTTGTGTTTTACCTTGCGATTTATACTGTTTGTGTACTTCGTATTCTTGTGGCTATGTGACCGACTGGCTCGATCAGTTTGGCACATGGGTTGTAACCTTCCGCAGCAAGTTCGGAACATTGTGCAACAGCTAGTTTATGTACTATTACATTTTCTGATTTTTCCATGTTTTTACATCTTTAACCGTAATTCCAAAATAGTGTAGCATATGGTTGCTAAGTACCAGATTACCAGTTGACTAGAGGTGTTCTAGACTCATAAGCGTTATGGGAATTTCTTCTCCAAATCACCCTTAATTGAGCACTCTTGCTTGGGTTTATGATGAATTGATACTTCCTCCGGTTTTTTTTTTTTTACTTGACTTGCTTTGACTTTTAAACTATTCACCACCCCTTCTTTGACCGTCTTTTGTGAATAATATGTAAGAAAAAACATATTTATGTTGGATCTTTTTAAATTCGTTTCAATAAGTACTATTATAATGTATTACTTTTATACTTTTTACTTACGGAGAATTAAAGTTATTGATCGTCCAAGTTTTGCATTGGCAAGCGTGATAAAAGAAACATGTTAAGTAAAAAAGAACGGAAGATATAATAAACATTGTTCATATTTTACTACTTCTAGCTAGGCTTGCCTTTGCAAAATGAAAAGAGAGAAATTTAGTAAGTTTGTTATTTCTTCTTTAAATTATCAATCCCCTCCTTAGACCCAAAGTTCAATTTTGTTGCCCTCAAAGATCGTATCTTTTAGCTGAAACTATATTAAAATGTCAAAATACAAATATAGATATTCAAACTCCTCTATTTCTGCATCCCTTTGATGGTTAGTATTCTATGAGGATTTTTTTTTTCTTTTTTTATTTTTTTATTTGACAAACTGTAAAAAGAAAACTAGCTCCGACACGAGACTACATTTAACACAAGGAGAGAGTTTAACATTCTTAACTATACTAACACAAAAGCTAATCCGGGGATTGGGGGTACAAGGTACAACAAACATGACCTACTTGGCAAAATATATAAGGAGATTGACAAATTCCATCACTAATACTAGTCTGAAGATGCTCCAAACTTGTTCATTTACGTTTCTTAGACTTGCAAAAACGATACCTGATATACATTTTACCTTTCTTGTTCTTTGCCCTTGACATGTGTGGCCTTCCATGCTTCCTTATCTTGACAGAAAACATGAAAGTAGAGGGTGAAGGAAAAGATTGCACTTGGTCGGGTTCAAGAGCCATGGGGTCATCTTCGATTCCATTTCAGCAATGTCAGTGGTAGGATAGTCTTTCGTAGGAACTTCAGTCCCCTCCTCAATGCTTGAACCTTCATTGCTATTATCAGCTAGACATGGAGAAGTAGGCTCATTTTTGTTCTAAACAGCAGTATTGCTAGGCTTACCAAACCCAACAATATGGTTGACCACTTCAAATTTTCAGGAGAGATATTGACCTTTTTCTTTCAAGTCTTTTTGTCGTGTCTCCTCTCAATTGAACTCACTATCCTAGTAGGCATGGACGAGGTTTTTGGACCTTTGGGGTCCATTGCCTTGTAAATATTAGAATGCGTGTAGTCTTGTCCTTCATTCGTACAATCATTCGATCATGAGTCAGCTGAATTGTTGAAGAAACTTAGTCTTCCCTTGCATGAGTTTCGAGAAAGATAATTAAGAAATCTTTAGGGACCGACTTCTTTTCATTCCATTGGAGAAAACATGGGTTTTCCCTGGTCCCGTGTCCTTTGCATGTCTTGATTGCCGATTGTTTAAAGAGTTATTTGATCCTTCTTCCTCATTTTCAAAGAAGCTTAAGCATTGTGAGTGGGGATAGTTCTCTCTACTACCATGTCACAAGCAAAATTAGTGACGGATGGGCTTGTAACACCACTCTGATCATCTGTACAAGGTGATCGGTTACACACTGGGATAGCTGGCGACTCACTGTTTTTTCCCTTTTTTATTGTAGTTGGAGTGAGTTAGAACAAATTCCTCAGTACTCCTCTTGCAATTGATCTTGCTAGCCTTGCAACTTAGGCCCTTCCTTTTATCCAGCTCACGGATAATGTCCTAGTTATTAGGCTCAATCTTGGTTGCCTTGCCAAGGTCCTCATAAGCCTCTTCTAGTTGATGAAGCTTGATTTCTGCTAAGGCCCTTCTATAAAAAGTGCTTTGACATTACTACTATCAAGCATGATGACTAAGGAGTAAATCTCCTTAGTTTGTTCATAGTCATGGACCTTTAGAGCTCAAGCTGTAAGATTTAACTTTAGAAAAAATAGCAAGATTCCATAGCATAAGATTATCATCCCCATTCCTTGGCAAACCAAAGCATAGAAATTTCAGCCCTCTATCATACTTAGCTCCATCACCAACAAACTCACCTTCTTTAAATAGATATTACCCTCATCTTTCAAGATCTTAGCTCAATTATAGATGTTCTGGGGACAATTATTAGTAGCAAAATTAACATTACTTTCGTCATAATCATCATTCAAGTGAGTGAGTATAAGAGCATAAGTAATTTATGGCATACCATTTCACCACAAAAGAGTAGGAGGGCTGATCAAAGCGGAAAAATATGAAACCCTTGCTTAAGATTAATAAATAGAAAAGCAGGAGACCCACAAACTGAAAAAAAAAATAAACAACATAAATGGTGAACAAAAGACTTCCACTAGCGACCTCGTCCATGAGCAAAAGGCGAGGAGCAGACCCAAGCAGCGGTTAGGATCTTGAAACCTCCTAACACAACCTGACTAGGCGGACCCACAAACTAAAAAAGAACAGAGCGGTGATCGGAGAACCACCACAAGCGAACACGTCCCCGAAAGAGGCGAAGACCAGGCCCAAGCACCACTAGCTAGAACTATGAAATCACCTAACACGACTTGACGGAAAGGGGCTTGCCGGCGACTGTGGAGCAAGACCGACCCACTTAGATCGCCGATGGCTTGTCGATCAGCCGTTGAGAGGGGGTTGTTTTTTATTAAATTATGGAAATTGATTCGGGGCTTTTTTAGGGGAGGTGCACGTGAGACGCGTTCCTTTCTAATTCTATAGTAACATCAAATCATCACCAAACACCAAATGATTCAACTTCATACTCCTGCATCTATGGTGATATTTGAAATCAGATTTCTGCCCCACCTTTTTCAAAAGTCTAGTGAGATATTCCATGCACACCACAAACAGTAAGGGAGAAGGGGGTCTCCTTGTCTGATTCCCCTAGCTCCCTTAAATAAACCATGAATTCCTCCATTGATCATAAGAGAGAAAGAAGGGGAAGAAACACAAGCCATAATCCAATTTACAAACTTACTAGGAAAACCAAGAGCAGTAAGCATTCTTTCAATGAAAGGCCATTTGATAGTGACATAAGCTTTCCTGATATCCACTTTGATTGTACACCTAGGAGGCTTCCTTTGATACTTATAATCCTTCAGAAGATCTTGACACAACATAATATTGTCAAGAATAGCCCTGCCAGAAACAAAGGCACCCTGTTCCTCACTGATAATTCCATGCAGAACCTCCTTGAGTCTGGAGCACAACAATTTTGACAGGATCTTATATATCACATTGCAACAAGCAATAGGCCAAAACTGGGTCATAGTAACAACATTAGCAACTTTAGGAATCAAAGTCAGAGATGTAGTATTCATCTGCTTAAGCAATTTTCCGTGGTTAAAGAAAGATAAAATAGCCTAACACACATCACCTTTAACAATCTCCCAAGCACTTTTGAAAAATCTGCTAGTAAACCCATCTGGACCAGGCGACTTATCCTCCTCAATGCTTCAGACAACATTCTTAACATCACCTTTTGTGAAGGGTCTACAAATATTAGCTCTCTGAGCCTCAGTAAGCACAGGACCCTCATGAATAACAGACATGTGGATCTGTCTAGCCTTTCCAGCATCAGTACCAAGAAATCCCTTATAATAAGAGATAAAAGAACCTGCAATCTTATCAGGATCAGTCACAAGCACCCCATCCTGATCTTGGATACTACAAATCCTATTTAAGGATCTTCTTTTTTTTTTATACAAGAATGGAATAACTAGATTTTAAGTCACCCTCCTTTACCAGTGAACCTTTGCCTTCTGTTTGAGGAAAAGATATCTACCTGTATGGGCCTCATTGTAAGCCAATCTAGTCTCATGCTCTTGTTTCAACAATTCATCATTTGTAAGGTCAGAGTTGAGCTTCTTCTGGATATCACACAAAGCCTTTTCAGCAGCAATATCCTTACCTTCAACACAAGAAAAATGGCTCAGATTCAAGAGCCTCATCTTTTGTTTAATAGCCTTCAGTTTTTGAACTACCCTGAACGTAGAAGTCCCCTGAACAGGTACATCCCAAGCATCTTTAACAATTCCTAAAAAAATTGCACCTGTCCGCATATTAAAAAACCTGAAAGGTTTCCTTACATTCCCAGCTTTACCATCCAGTCTCATACAACATGGAGTATGGTCCATAAGACCCTATGGCAGAAACTCAGTAGTAAAATAAGGAAATGAATTTTCGAGCAAACTCTATCCACCCCTTCCTGCTTATTAGTCCAAGTAAAAAACATGCCACCTACATTGAAATCAGTGAGATTATTACTTCTCAAACAATGCCTAAATTGCTCCACTTCAGCTAGAGTACATTGAGACGCAATCCTATCCTCAAGATTAAGGATATTATTAAAGTCTCCACATAGGATCCAAGGATCATCACCAGGAGGGGCAATCTGAGCAATCTGTTGCCACAAGGCCTCTCTCTCTCTTGCAGTATTCAAGCCATAGACCATTGTCAACCAAAATTGCTTCCTCAAAGCATTATGAGCCACATGTACATGGATAAATTGGGCATCCATTATACAACTAGAGATAGTAAACATGCTAGGAAACCATACAATCCAAATTCTACCAGCCTTATGAAAAGAGTGGTTTGTAATAACAGACCAGTCCTGACCAAAATTCTCAAACACCTTCCCAAACTTCTGCACTTTAACATTCGTTTCCAAGAGGCCAAACAAACCCATATTGTGGTGTCTAATGAACCATAGGACATCACACAACTTACTAGGTTTATTTATACCCCTAACATTCTAAAAGCCTATTTTATCCATAGAGAGATGAACAAAGTTGCCCTTTTCCCATATCACCATACATCACTTTTCCATTGGTAATTAATGCCAAGTTATTACTAATATTACTCTTGTTATCATCCACATTACCCTCTTCACTAGTAACATCTTCAGCCTCATCCTTCTCAAGATCACTAAACCTATTTTAACACCACCCCCAGCAGAGTTTCTCTGAACAGGCCTCCATTCGTCTCCTCCTCCTTTGGAGCAGCCTTATCAACCCTCTCCTTCCTCCAATTTGCCTGAACTCTGTGGTTAGGACATTGATCATCAGAGTGTCCCATACCAGTACAAACTGAGCATTTAATCGGTTTCCATTCATAGACAATTTTCTGGAACACCACTTCTCCATTCTCATAAAAAAACTCAATTTCCTCCACCAATTTGTCTCTCACATTTATTTCAACTAGTATCCGAGCATAACCAACTAGTTCTTTTGTGACCATAACTCTATCAGTTTTAATTGGTTTCCCCACAAGTCCAACTATCTTCATCAGAGATAATTTCCCCCAAAATTTCAAGTCTAAACCTGGCATTCTCACCCATATAGGAACCTCATGAACATCTTCATTCTTAAGAATGATTCCTGGCTCCCATTTCTTAACAATTACAGTTATCTTATCAAAGAAAATAGGTCCAGCCGTTAAAGCCTTCTCTCTTCCTTCAATCGACTTAAATCTCACTAGAAAACTCCATTCTCCATGGCTGAAATTCTATCAATCCCAAACCTTCCCCATAATCTTCTAACAAACCCATTCATGATTCAAAAAGGGAGATTTGAGCTTAGAATGTAACAAACAACTGCTGACTTTCGAAAATTAATTTCTTGTTCAACATCCTCCATTGTTATGCAAACTCTACTATCTCCAATCCCATTTCCTTTTCCCTCTCCAGCCTGCTTCTCCCCCTTACAAGACAAATCCAACCCCTCATCTCTACAACCCGTAAACATATTACTCCATTTACGACCATTATTACCCCCAGAATTAGAAATAATCGGTGAAGCAAAAACAGGGTGTTCTTTAATAGAGCTCATAACATCATTGAAATTCAAATTACCAGCAAGATTACCACTACCAAACTGTCTATTTGAGCTATTAATCATCACCAGGGGAGTTGGATTATCATACCTTGAAGCAATTGACGAGAGCTCACCCTTCTCTGATTCTTCACAATTCTTTATTAATGGTGTTTGACGCACAATTACATTCAGCCATTGATCGAATTGACATTTGTGAAGAAGCTTCTCCTCCTCAGAAACTCGATTTACCTTCACTTCTTCAATACCCTCTTTCGCAAGCCAACTTTCCTCCGAACGAACCTCGACCACCAAATCTTGAGATTTCACATTTTGCCGAGTATTAGGCTTTGATTTACTCTTCTTCTTCGATTTAGAGTTGGAAGATTTCTTTCCTTTGCCCTTTCCCCCCTTCGCCATTGTATGTGCTGGAATTTCACGCCTTTATGAATCTTTTATCAAAATTGCTAACCACCTAAGTTAGTTACTAGTTTGTGCGTGTTATGCATTGTTACTTATTTTACGTTGTAAAATGCATGGGCCATTCACATATAGTTAATGGATGAATGGAATGTATATTCTATCACAGGTTTTGTGAAAATAGCAACTTGTGGGGCCCGATTAGGATAGTAAATATGGATTGCGATCCGTTATGTATATTTGTAAATCTAAATAATTAGCGTACCGTTGCGTATTTTTGTACCTTAATATTTAGATTAGTCCTAGTCATAATTACTAGTAGCTGCATAATTGGTGGAGATGTCTCGAAGACGGCGTTTCTACGAAGACAAGCCAAGACAATGTAACAAAGACCCTTGAAGGCTTGAAGACTCAAGGGGTCATGCTAGTTTCCAAATTCATCTTTTACTTATGTTTTCTATATATAATGATGCTTATATATGAATGATATGTTAGATGCATGTTTAGGATTTCGAATGTTGCGATGATTTATTAAGTTCACTTAAATCAACCAACATAGAAACCCTAGGTCCCTATAAAATTGAGCCAAATTTGCCATTCCAAGATAACACTTACGGAGCTAATGTGAATAGTGATGGGCCTATGCCAAAGCAAGGCATTACTACTTTCCTAGGAATGTAAGGTATACTAGGTATACAAGTTGATTTTGGTTAAGCTCAACGATATCAGTAAGGAGTACTTAGATGTCGTGCAATGGAGATAAAACGTCAAGAAAGCATTAGATGCGACGCTTTATCGAACCAAGAGTAGCTTAGAGCTATTAGCAATTTGATTGCTTACCCTAAAATATTAAGTGTTAAGACAAACCAAAGCATGCTTAATCACTTTTTGATTTTTAGGATCTTAATTGGAATCGTTTTATTCTCGCCTAAAAGGGAAAAATTTTAATGCGTAAATAAAACGCTTAATAAGAATGAAAATTTTCATGTATGCTTTAAATTTCAAACTTATTGGTTTTATGAATGGTTTTTCATTGCAAATTCTTTCAATTGTATAATCATGTCTGCAAATAAGTCAAACAACCAATTTTCATTACGATCAATTCTCGACAACGTGAAATTGAGTGGGCCAAATTTTCTTGATTGGTAAAGGAACTTGCGTATAGTTCTCATGCAAGAGCAAAAGGAATACGTCCTTGATGAGGAAATGACCGACGCTCCCAATGAGGAGGTCACTCAGGCTTCCCTAAACTGATAGCAAACTGCCAATCGGGATGTTAAGTGCATCATGTTGGCCACGATGTCTCCGGACCTCCAAAAGACTTTATTTGAAAAGGATACGGCTTTTGAGATCATTTATGAACTAAAGAACATGTTCCAAGAGCAGGCCCGAACTAAGAGGTTCGAAACCCACAGGCAGATCCTTGAGAGTAAGCTCAAGAAAAGAGAGCCAGTCAGCCCACATGTACATAAAATGATCGGACTATTTGAGAACATGGAAAGGCTTGACGCTTGGTATTCGACCGAGATGGCAATCAACATTATTCTCCATTCGCTGCACAAAGGCTATAATCAGTTCAAGATGAACTATAATATGCACATCATGGAGAAAACCCTCACCGAGCTTTTGGGATGTTGAAGCAAGCCGAGCAAACGCTTAAGGATGAGGGGAAGCATGACATGCTTATGGTCAAGAAGGGCAAGCCATTCAAGCGCTCGGGCAAGAAGAGAGGCTTTAAGGGGAAGAGTAAGAAGACTTTTCCGCCTAAGTCAAACGCTACCAAGGGCTACAAGGTCAAGAAGGTAGCCTATTCAAAATCCGATTCCGAATGTTTCTATTGCAAGAAGAAAGGACGTTGGAAGCGGGATTGCCTCAAGTTCAAAGATAAGAAGAACGACACCGTTGCTTCTATATCAGGTATTTTTGTAATAGACTTAAACTTCGCTAGCAAAACATCATGGGTATTAGATACCGGATATGGCTCACACCTTTGTTCCAATGCTTAGGGACTGAGGATAAATAGAAGGCTAGAGAAGAGAGAGGTCGAACTCCAGGTCGGCAATGGAGCCAAGATGTCAACCGTATCCGTTGGAACTCTCAGTTGTCTTTACCTTCTAGGCTTACTTTAGAACTTGAAAATTGTTATTATGTTCCAAGAGTTACCAAAAACATTATTTCGATTTCGGCGTTGGATGCTAAGGGATTTGAATTTCGAATAAAAGACAATAGTTGTTCATTTTATTTCGATAATGTTTTATATGGTATAGCACATTTAGAAAATGGTCTTTATTTGCTTTCTCAAGAAAAACAAGTTTATAATGTTAGTGATACAGCTGAAAGAGCTAAGACCATTGAGTTGAATCAAACCTACTTGTGGCATTGTCGTCTTAGCCACATTGACATCAAACGCATCAAGAAACTTCTTCATGAAGGTATTCTTGATTCATTCAACTTAGAGTCGTTTGAAAACTGCGAAGGATGCTTACTAGGCAAGATAATAAAGCAGCCATTCTCGAAGTTGGGAGAAAGGGCTAGTGACTTATTGGGTCTTATACACACGGATGTATGTGGACCAATTAGCACAACCGCAAGAAATGGTTATCACTATTTTATGACTTTCACGGACGACTTTAATAGATATGGCTATGTCTACCTTATGTCGCACAAATCTGAATCTTTCGAGAAATTCAAAGAGTTTCAGAGTGAAGTGGAAAATCAGCTAGGCATGAAAATCAAATCGCTTCGATCGGATCGAGGTGGCGAGTATTTGAGTACTGAATTCGACGATCATTTGGAAGAAAATGGTATTCTCTAAGAGTTGACACCTCCCAGAACTCCACAATGGAACGGAGTGTCCAAGAGGAGTAGTCAGACCTTGTTAGACATGGTGCGATTAATGATGGGTCTTAGCGATCTTCCTTTCTCTTTCTGGGGATACGCACTTCTAACCGTGGCACTAACACTAAACCGAGCTCCGTCAAAAGCTGTCGAAAAGACTCCATATGAATTATGGACGAAGAAACCTCCACGGTTGTCTTTTCTTAAGATTTGGGGTTGCGAAGCATATGTCAAGAAATTAATTTCTGACAAACTTCACCCAAAATCAGAAAAGTGTTTCTTTGTGGGATACCTAAAAGAAACTAAGGGGTATTATTTCTACAACAAATCCGAGAACAAAGTGTTTGTTGCCTGTGATGATGTCTTTTTGGAAAGGAGCACCTTTCTGAAATGACAAGTGGGAGAAAAATCGAACTCGATGAAGTTCGAGAGGACGAGCAACAAAGTCAACCTAACAAAACAAACAATCAATGTGATTTAGAAGCAGCTACAGACATTGGTCAGAGTAAAACCGACAATGTGCAAAGTTAAATTGACAATGCAAATGCTCAACCTATTACCCTGCGTAGGTCGCAACGGCCAAGATCTCAACCAGACAGATACCTCGGTGTTGTCTTAA